TTTTTAAAGACTAGGGAAAAAACAAAGTCCCAGACTGAAAAATAGGGCATAACTCTTTCATTGCATGGTTAAGAATATAAGAAGAGCCCTGCTGGATCAGACCAATGGTCCATCTAGTCCAGCATCCTGTCTCACACAGTGGCCAGTCAGTTCCTCTGGATGGCCAACAACAGAGCACAAAGACCAAGACCTTCCCCTGATGTTGCCTCCTGGCTCTGGGATTCAGAGGATTAGTGCTTCTGGATGTGGAGGTTCCCCTCAGTCACCATGGGTAGTAGCCATTGATAGACTTATCCTCCATGAATCTATCTAATCCTCTTTTAAAGCTGTTTATTCCTGTGGCCATCACTACATCCTCTGGCAGAAAATTCCACATTTTAATCATTCTCTGCATAAAGTATTTCCTTTTGTCCATCTTGAACCTACTGCCAATCAGTTTCATTGGATGCCTTCTGTCAGCTAAGCTGCCATCGCAGTTCTAGTATTTTGGTAGAAAGAGAAAAATTTCTCTTTGTCAACTCTATACACCATGCATAATTTTATAAAGCTCTACCGTGTCCTCCCTTAGTTGTCTCTTTTCTAAACTGAAAAGTCCCAGACTCTTCCGCCTTTCCTCATAGGGAAGGTGCTCCAACCCCCTAATCATCTTGGTTGCCTTCCTCTGTACTTTTTCCAACTCTGCAATGTCCTTTTGGAGATATGGTGACCAGAACTATTCACAGTATTCTAAGTGAGGCTGCACCATAGATCTATACATGGATATTACAATATTGGCCGGTTTTTTCCTCAATCCCTTTCCTAATAATCCCTAACTAGAGTTTGCCTTTTTCACCTCTGCAGCACGCTGGGTTGACATTTTTATTGAGCTATCCACTATGACCCCAAGATCTTTTTCCCTCTCAGTCTCAGCGAGTGCAGACCCCATTAGCCTATATTTGAAGTTAGGATTTTTTTTTGTCCCAATGTGCATTGCCTTACATTTACCAACAGTGAACTTCATTTGCCACATTGTCACCTACTCACCCAGTCTGTGGAGGTCCTCTTGTGGAGGAGCTCTTCACAGTCAGTCTTGTTTTTCATCATCCTGAATAATTTTGTGTCATCTGCAAATTTGGCCACTACACTACTCACTACACTACTTAGTTCCACATTATTGGTGAATAAATTCTATAGTACCGGCCCCAATACCAGTACTTGTGGGACCCCACTGCTTATTTCCCTCCACTGTCCATTTATTCCTAGTCTTTGCTTCCAGTTCTTTAACCAGTTTTTAATCCATAAGAGAACTCGTCCTCTTAGCTCATGACTGCTGAGTCTACTCAGGAGGGGTCTTTGGTGAGGTGCCTTGTCAAAAGACTTTTGAAAGTCCAGGAATATAATGTCTTCTGGGTCATCGTTGTCTACATGCTTGTTCGCTTTCTCAAAGAACTCCAAAAAGTTGGTGAGGCAGGACTTCCCTTCGCAGAAGCCATGCTGATTTTCCCTCAGCAGGCTTTGTCCCTCTATGTGCATAATGATTCTCTTTGATTACAGTTTCTACTAATTTGTCTGTGACAGACATTAGGTTGACTGCCCTGTAATTTCCTGGATCCCTTTTTAAAAATTGGTGACACATTTGCTACGCTTCAGTCTTCTGGCACAGTGGCTGAATTTAGTGATAGGTTACATGTATGGGTAAAGGTTAGTAGATCAACAATCTCACATCTGAGTTCCTTAAGAACTCCCGGGTGTATGCCATCAGGACTTATCGGTTTTTAATTTCCCCAATACGGTAGGTCTAGAATTTCATCTCTGGTCACCTCAATTTGGCTCAGTTCTTCAGACTTCCTTCCTGAAAAGGGGGCTGTGGCATGGGTACATGCCCCACACTTTCCACTGTGAACACAGAACACAGGTTCTGGTTTCTTTTTTTGTAGCACATATCTGCCAATTCCATGATTTAATTAAATAGGATTCTCTTCTTTGTAAAGCTTTGCACTTGCAGGTACATGGTAAGCACAGAAATTGTAGTCCAATTTAAATGTGACTGGGTGCATAAGAGAATTCATGCATCTTTCCAGATGGCTGGCTTCACACTTTAAACTGTTTCCATATCTGCTACACATGCAATGTCAGTGTGTTAGCCTGGAGCCATCTGAAAGTCAGTATAACCTCTTTAAATGCTGCAGTTATCTTTACCCTTGTGGCGGACAGTGATCCATGTCACAACCCCTGATCCAGGCCTTTCTCTTGTTATTGTATTATATACCACTTTACCAATAACAGGCGCCTGAGGCTGGAGAGTTGTGCACTACCCACCACCCACACTCTCATTTTATATTACTTAATATTAGGTTCACTTCTCCCTTTAAGTGTGTGAGGTGAAGTGGATTGGTTTTAATTAGTATGTCTATTTTGACACACATACAGGATTCCTTAATCCTGACACAGAGAGCACATCAGCCATAAACCCAGGCCCTACAGAGTGTGTAATGAGTAACCTGGATTGAGGATGACATGGGAGTCATATCTTTTTAAAAAAAGTTTACTTAGTTGGTAAGCATTATGTATATTCCTTCCCCTTCCAGCCTCCCAGAGCTGGAAGGTGAGTTATACTCAAGAGTTACAGTGTTTATTCTTTTAGGAGCTTTTAACATAAAGACAATTAACTAGATAGCTTGAACAATCCAACTGCTTTGTTGTTGTTGTCTGTTTGTTTGTTGGCTGTTAACAGTTAAACTGCCTCAGATCCCCCCCCCTTCAGCATTCTTTTCATCTTTTCAAATCCAGTTGGTTCTTACTGAACAGGTAGGAAACAGAACATTCTCTTGTCCGTTACAGAATCCATTTCCCACATGACATTTTGCAGTGGATGTTTTACATTTTAACAGTTTTCATGCTTGTACAGTTGTGTGGATCTGTGGTTGGCTACATCTCTCTGTAAAATTATACATACTTTGTGACAAACCCTGTCGTCGTCCCCCCCCCCCACATAATGAGTGAATAGGCTGCACTGTGGTTTAAAACTCAACAACAAAAAGCTGTTTGAGTGTGCTCATTAAGACTTAATGGAAGCATTTTCTTTAAAAATGCAAAAGCATACTCAGAGGGCATTTCCCAGATAATTTTATTCCCACAGAATTCTTAACTGTTTGTTGCAAGGAATCTAGATGCCTTACATCAGGGAAACAGTTCTGTTGTACCAATATCTCATTCTCTGTTTCATTCAACTAGGGGAGTAGCCATGTTGTTGCTGCTTTTTAAAATGAACTGGAATGCAATTATCCCACTGTAGCAAGGGCCATTATATACCAGATAGAAATTATCTTGTTACTGGTCCTGGGTTTGGCCTTGTGCAATCCAGTACCTTCTGCAGGCATGAAAGCATCTTGAGAGCCAGTGTGGTGTGTAGTGATTGGACTGCTAGGGTCTGGGTCCAAAGTCCCACTCTGCCATGGAAGCTCAGTAGGTAACCATGGCCCAGTCATGCACACTCAGCCTAACCAACCTCACAGAGTTGTGTGCGCGCGCGCATGTTAAGTGCCGTCAAGTTGCTTTTGATTTATGGTGACCCTATGAACTGATGACCTCCAAAAGGTCCTATTATTAACAGCCTTGCTCAAGTCTTGCAAACTGAGGACCGTGGGTTTCTTTGAGTCAATCCATCTCATGTTGGGTCTTCCTCTTTTTCCGTTGCCTTCAACTTTTCCCAGCATTAGTGTCTTTTCTAATGACTATTGACTTCCCATGGTGTGACCATTTAGCTTCTAAGGAAAGTTCTGGCTTGATTTGATCTAGAGCAATTATTTGTCTCTTTGGCAGTCCACAGTATCCATAGAACTCTCCCCCAACTCACATTTCAAATGACAGAGTTGTAGCAGTGATAAAAAGGAGGAGAGGAGAACAATGTAAGCCCCCTTGAGTTCCATTTGGGAGGAAAGGCTGAAAAGTAGATCAAATAAAAAGGAGGAGAGGAGAACAATGTAAAGCCCCCTTGAGTTCCATTTGGGAAGAAAGGCTGAAAAGTAGATGAATAAATGTAATCAGGTGATTTCGTAGAAAAAGAGGTGCAGGAGCTCATTAGCATAACTCCTTAGCATAACTTATTTGCATATGCCACACCCCCTGACATCACCGGAAGTGTGTCAGAAGGCAACACCCACCGCTCAGGCTCCACTGGACTGTTTTGGATTGCTAGCTATTGGGGGGAGGAGTGCAGATCTGTCCTTGCAGAGGAGGGAGAGCTTGTACCTGAAGGCGGGCCGGGGGGGGGCTCTGCTACTTACCTGGCTGCTTCTTGCTCCTCGTGGCCCGACTGAGGGCTGCTGGGAGCAGGGGGCGGGGCTTGTTGCATGGGCCCGCCCCCTGGGCTCCTTACTGCCAGAGCTCCGCTCCTGTGCGCTTCCGCAGGAAATGACCCCTGAATGTAATCATAATTGCACCCTCTCCCTCAGCTATACAATACACAAATAGGAATCACACATCTTTCTACCACTGCAACAAGTAAAGTTGTAGGCCCATGCCATTGCATTTCGGTAGAACTTTGCTTGTGAGAAGCTACTTGCATATGTGCCTTGCTTTACCTTGCCTTGTGGATGAGAGGTGGCCAGTTTAAAAGGGCTTAAAAGGTTAATTTATTTGAAGGTACACTAGATATCTACATGGGTGATCATGGAGACTGTTTTGTCGGTCACGTCTAATTTAAAGCTGTGGTGTTAAACTTGACACTTTTTAAAAGTATAGTAACTTAATGGTCACTCTAGTATACATTACTCAGGAGTAATGATATGAAAATCATTTGGCTTTTTAAAAACTGTGTCATAAGCTCTTTCCAATTCATCCTTCATAATCATAACTGCCTCTTACAGGTATCTAACAGTGCATTCTTCTGAATGTGGACCTGAACAGTCTGTACTAGAAATATAGCAGGAAATATGTGGGTTGATTTGGCCATTAGAAAAGAGGTTTTCTTGTGTGTTCTGCCTTAGAGTTTAAACTTCTCTAATTTCTTTGATTTACAGGGAGGTAGTGCAAGCAAACTGTGTTCACTGGAAGAAGAGATTTCTATTTATGTGCAAAATGAGTGCAAGTGCCACTACAGGGATTTTGGATCCCTGTATCTGCAGAGTGTCTGTACGGAAGGTAAAAAGGACGTTTGATGTTTGCATTTTACTTTTATGCTCTGAGCCACTTAAAAAATGCAATGAAAAAAAACTATTCATTGATGTAGGGTTGCCAGCTCTGGGTTGCGAAATTCCTGGAGATTTGGGAGGGGAGTCCACCCTTCAAAGCATCCATTTTCTTCAGGGGAACTGATCTCTGTTGTCTGGAGATCAGTTATAATTCCAGGAGATTTCTAGGCCCCACCTCGTGGATGCCAACCTACACTCAGAGTCTAATTTTTATTATAATACATCTAGTAGTTATACTTTTCTACTGATCTCTTCACATTTACAATTAATAGTATATCCTAAGATATATTGTTCTGCTATAAATATTATTTGGTACTCTCTTTTTGTCTGTTTTAAACATATTTTTCAGAAAATGTTTGCCTCCTTAACTTTGAAGGCAGGTAGCAATACATTCCTGTAGCTTCCATCACCAACCCAATTATATGCTAACCCTCCAGAAAGATGCTCAAACTGTCTGGCATGTTTCCAGGAGGCAGAATACTTGCCAAGAGTGTCTGCATAATTAAAGGAATCAGTATGGTGTTTTGTTTTGTTTTTTGGAAATATAGTTTTCCAAATAGCAAAAGACAATGTAGATAAATGACCTTTGAAAAGGATTTTCTTTAAACGCATAAAAAGGTTAGACTGTTGGTCACTTATGAAATTAACATTGGGAGTGTAAGTTTTGAGAAGCAAGCACTTCCTACATTATTTAAATCTAGCCATTTAGTATCAGGCATTGAAGAATGCTGCTTCCCTGAACTTTGGCTTGTCTCTGTCTATAATGTAGGTAGTTATATCCACTAGGCTGGATACAAACACTTATAAAGAAAAATCCGGAGACCTCTAGAATGCCTGAACAGGAAGAATGGGGTCACAAGTCCTTGCCTCCTGAGGATCCAGTTACATTTAGCTGGCATTTAGGAGGATGGGTGGTCAGAGATGCAGGTGGTTCTGCGCCTTCTGTTGTAGCCTCAACCAGACTTAGGGTTGCCAGGTCCCTCCTGGCAACTGCAGGGGTGGGGGGGACTTACCAGGAAACAGGCCACATTGTTGGCATCGCGCAGGAAATGAAATAATCACGTTACAACATCGCTGCAATGCTCTGGTATTTGGGCAAAAATGTTATAGTAAAAACAACTTCTACCATAGATTTTGCCCAAATATCAGAGCATTGCCTGGACATCACTGGTGTGATGATGTCACTTCCTATGCGACATAAGTGACATGGACTAGGCCTTCCTGTTTCTCCAGATAAGTCACTCCACCGGCTGGCTGATCACCCCTTTACCAAGGGTGGCTGGCAACCCTAACCAAACTGGAGAGAAGCAGTCTGTTTGATAAATACTGATAATGAAGGGACTGAAATTGCATTGTTTCATGACCTGGAGTGAGGGCACCAAGGCATTTGATAAGGTTCTCTCAAAATTCAGTAGTATTCTATAGGTATACTAAGGAATGTACATATGGCACACCATGTTATGAGGAGAGCAGAAATGATAAATCCATGGTTGTTTGTTGTTGCAGGAGCTAAAAGGTGGGAAGGCTTATGCAAAGGTAAGGGAAAATGATCCTATCAGTTAAATGTTTTTCTTTTTAAAAAGATATTTCTATATAATTTCACCTTATAAATCAATGTTGATATGTGGTTTCTTTAATAAAAAAGAATGACCATCACAATTACCTCTAGATGTACTGGTTGTATAATGCTGCTTCGCGTTAAATAGCTTCTGTCTAGTGTCTTCATCTAGAGGTGGTCAGCCACTAAATGGCTGCCACAGCTTACCTTCAGTCACACATTGAAGATCCTTGTGGTGTGATCACAGCTGTTGCCAAAGTAAGATTTTTTTAAAAATCTGCACAGCCAGTCAGAAGACTTGATGGGCAAAAGCCCCACCTTGCCAAACCCAATTTCTAAAAATACTTGGTGGGTGCCAGGAAAGGTGTCTCTGGGTTGCCATAGCATCCCACAGGCACCATGGGGGATCCTGTTTATTTATTTCATTAGGCTTTTATACCACCCTCCCCACAAGCAGGCTCAGGGCCGTGCACGACCAATTCATACAAATACATGTAAAATACATTTCAACAGTCTATAGTCTAATATCATAAATATCATGTTATATCCTTTGATTTTCTCTAACGTTAGTCTCTCTGTTAATAGCTGGGTTTTGCAGACCTCAACCTGGCAGAGTTCGCTGGATCAGGAAATACCACTCGTCGCTGTTTACTGGAAGGTTATGATACCAAAAACACAAGGCAGGATAATTCAATTCTCAAAGTAATTTTTTGTGTTTCTTGTTTTGTATTTTGTGACGTTTAAAAGAAAAGAGCATTTTTGCTAAATATTGTGCGGGAGAACTAAGTATGGCAACCCATTTAACAAGGCTGTACATCTTTTCTAACATTGGTGTGACAGCTAAAAAGAGCTCAAGTAATTAGACTGCCATAATATGAGTATACAAATAGCAATTCAAAGCTGCATGTTCAAGTATAATGCAGTGAAAAGCCGGCAAGGGAAAATGATTGAAAGAGCTTTACATAAATGCAGTCATGCTAATAGGATGAAAGTAAACTAATTCATTAATTAATTTTCAGGGTAGCTCTTTAGTGTTTTGTTAAGGAGAACTTTTCCAGCGTTGCCATCAGTCATGGGTTGCAGTAGGGTAAACAGGGAACTTGTGTTACTCTTCTGCCTTCTGAATTGTGCCAGAGGAAATCAACACTAAATTTAGTTTTGGAATTATAATATTTGCTGATTTCAAGTCTCATTCTATCTGAAATGGCTTGTATAACTTGCCGTTTGTTAAAGTGGTGATTGTTTTATACACAAATAGATTTCTGAAAGGCACAGAAACAGCAAAGATGCTGCCTTTCATCAGAATGGCTCATGCACATTATTAGTTTTTATAATGTGGTTTTAGTCTGTCAGTTGCTTTGCTGGCAGTTGACTCATTCATCTTCATAGCAACCCTGTGAAATCAGTCGCTACCACATAATAAAGCTGACTTGTGTGTTTTCCCTGTTCATTTTGGGGAGGGTTTTATCCTGATCTGTTTTTTTCTTAACTCGCAGGTATTGATCAGCATGCAGCTTATGTCTGGAGACCCATGTTTTAAAACGTAAGTTTACATATGCAAGTGAGATTTCAGTTCCAATGTTAATAATTTGCTGGAATTCTTTTGTACAAATCATGTTATGAAAAGGTTCTGTGATTATTGAATGCGAACAGGCAGTTTGGTGCCATTTTGGTTCCTCTGAGATATATATGTGTATGTGTGTAGTTTCTTTGCAGACAGCTGTGGCAGGAATGGAAACTTGGGGAGGTGTAGCACTTGATGGATGGTACTCTCATCACCCCAGTCCATGGAACTTCAGTTAGTGGAGGGTGACATACAGTCCTGTAGATTTTAAAAACTGCCGCCAGCACTTTGTAATGTATTATTTTAATTGTCATGTTTTAATCTGTATTATGTATGCTTTTATCATGTATTTATGTTATTGGAGGCCGCCCTGAGCCTGCTTGCGGGGAGAGCAGGGTATAAATCAGACAATAAATAAATAAAATAAATAAATGGTGCTGTACAGGATTCTGCCCCCACGCCTGTCTAGGAATGAGGGAAAAACTCCTATATGTTTACAATACATTAACAACAATACCCAGCTCTAGCACCTCCTCAGAGATGCACTCTTAAGGCTCAATGGTAGCGTGCAGCCAGCTAGGCACAAGGAGTTTAGCCTTGGAGTCCAGTTACCCATCAAGCAGACAGTATTTATAAACAGAATAACGTTTATTCAGTACAGGCTTGCAATCAGGCTAGGAGAATTCTGAAATAAGAAAGGCTAAGCAATGTTTTGCCTAACTACACAATAAGAAGCATATTCACCAACATCAGGTAGGGTCCAAGAGTCAGTATTGTCCATTGGGATAGTCCAAGTATCTTGAGAAACAAGAGTTTCATCTTTGCAAGCATGCAGCCATGTGCTCAGCTCCAAAGCAACTCTTTGTCTCTCCCAAAAAGCACATGACAGAGACAAAGCATTTCAGGGATAAGTCCACAGAACAGTAGATAACAGGAACAGAAACGAGAGAGCGAGAGCTCTATAAATAAATCCAGGGAATTTAGAATAGCATTTCAATAGTTCTATATGAACTGTTCCTGTGTAGAGGCATAGAAAACCTGTGACTGCATTGCCTATAATGCATATTCATTTTCTTCTGTGATATTAACAGTCCTCAAATTGACCTGAGGCTATAATCCTGACCTGGGCATATTCTTCAGTATTTGATTGCTAGTGCTTTCTAGGTACTAATTTTTAAAAAGTAATAGGGACATTTTTCTGGCTGTTCTAATGAGACACTTAGGCTGGTTTATTCATGCTGCTCAACCCATCCACCCTTTCACAAGAGTCACTTTAATAGGTTGTGAGTTTCCTCTGGACATACCATGGCATCACACACAATCTGCTTTATGAATCTTTATATGCTAACACTTTCATGCACTTAGCAAACACCTCAAGGAGATTCTCAAGGAGATTCTGTATTTGGTAAAGATGGTTTACCAACAGGTATAAACACACATCTTTAAGAATTCATCTGTTTAGAGAAGCAGAAAAATATATGCTTCCAACTGGTTATCTATAGTTAATAACCATGCTTCTTCAAAGGATTGCTCAATTCAAGAGTGTTCTGTGTTGGAATGGTATTGCTGTTTTTATGCTTTGTATGTGTCTAACTCTGTTTTTTAATTATTTTAATGATGTGTGTTTTTTGGGGGGGCTCATTTTAATGGTTTTGAAATGTATGTTTTAAATTGTTAGCTGCCTTGGTGGCTCTTGTAACAACAAAAAGGTTGGATACAAATTTTGTAAATAAATAAAATAAATACAACCAATAAAAGACATTAAAGACAAAAAAGGTACTCAAAACAACTTGTAGAAACAGTTTGATTATTTAAGGCATCCAAGAATGACATTCAGTCTTTGCAAAGTGTCTATTCACAATCAAATGAGACACTTTGGGCCAATAATGATATACCCTTCTGATCTGAGAAAAGGGTAACAATATTCCTCCGTACGCTGTTCCAAAACCACAAAGGTTTAGTCAACTCGCTGAAGTCTGTTTGGTGCCTTTACAGAGAATTGGATTAGCTACTAAATATTCAGTGATGAGCTTTCCATCTCATTCTGGCAAGAAATGTTGAAGTGCTACTCTGACTGGCATCAACCTCTTCTCCAGGAAAATGAAAGCAAGTAGCCAAAGGGAAGCATTGTGAGTTTAGTTAGAAGGCCAGTTGCTGGCTAAGAGGACTGGCAGACAATAGTGGGTCAAGCACTTACAAGAAGCCTCAGTTGCTGTGCATGCTTTTAAAAGCAAGGCCAGGAACAATTCATTTCACATGCTCTGTAACTCTCTTAGTTAAACTACCAGGTTTGATATTGCTCCATTAACTTCTCCTGAAAATGTAAAACCAAAAGCGGCTTTTATTAAATCATTCAGACTGAGAGATGGAAATTGGATGGGTTTTACCTATGCTAGCCTGACAATCTGTCACTGGAATCCAGTTCAATAGGCAAAAAGTGAAGGGATGCCAGCTTTTATATGCAAATCTACAAGGGGTTTTTCTCCAGAGTTCAAAGCTCTGGCAAAAGGCTTTGCACAATAGTAATTAAAATTTACAGTGCATTAAAACCCTTTCAAATGGCCAGCACTTGTTGGATAGTAATGTCATTGTATCTCTGGAATTCAACATTTTATGCCTAAAATACATTAAAATCTATAAAGATGAGTATTTTAATGCTGTTGGAGGAGCACATATTTCTGTACTGGGAATTGCTACCTCACTTCAATATGTTTTACATTTATTTGCTGAAGGATACAACATGTGTGTGTTATTACACTGGTTTCATTCTTGGATGATTTCCCCTTTGGCAGAGCAGTGACACTTTTTCATTGGTTATTAAGAACATAAGAACATAAGAGAGAACATAAGAGACGCCAATGTTGGATCAGGCCAAAGGCCCATCCAGTCCAACACTCTGTGTCACACAGTGGCCAGAAATACCAGTGCCATCAGGAGGTCCACCAGTGGGGCCAGGACATTAGAAGCCCTCCCACTGTTGACCCCCCCCCAAGCACCAAGATGACAGAGCATCACTTGCCCCAGAGTCCCTATCTATACCTTGTGGCTAATAGCCACTGATGGACCTCTGCTCCATATGCTTATCTAATTCCCTTTTGAAGCCGTCCATGCTTGTAGCTGCCACCACTTCCTGTGGCAGTGAATTCCAAGTGTTAATCACTCTTTGGGTGAAGAAGTACTTCCTTTTATCCGTTCTAACCCGACCGCTCAGCAATTTCATGGAGTGCCCACGGGTTCTTGTATTGTGAGAAAGGGAGAAAAGTACCTCTTTCTTTACCTGCTCTTTCCCATGCATAATCTTATAAACCTCGATCATGTCACCCCTCAGTCGTCTTTTCTCCAAGCTAAAGAGCCCTAAGCGCTTTAACCTTTCCTCATAGGGAAAGTGTTCCAACCCTTTTATCATTCGAGTTGCTCTTTTCTGCACTTTTTCCAAAGCTATAATATCCTTTTTAAGGTGTGGTGACCAGAATTGCACACAGTATTCCAGATGAGGTCGCACCATTGATTTATATAGGGGCATTATTATATTGGCTGATCTGTTTTCAATACCCTTCCTAATAATCCCCAGCATAGCATTGGCCTTCTTTATTGCAGTCACACACTGTCTCGACATTTTCAGTGAGTTATCTACTACAACTCCAAGATCTCTCTCTTGATCTGTCTCTGCCAGTTCAGACCCCATCAATGTGTATTTATATTTAGGATTTTTGGCTCCAATGTGCATCACCTTGCACTTGGCCACATTGAACCCCATTTGCCATGTTGACGCCCACTTGCCCATCTTTGACAGATCCCTTTGGAGTGCCTCACAATCCTCACTGGTTTTCACCACCCTGAACAACTTTGTATCATCCGCAAATTTAGCCACTTCACTGCTTACTCCCAACTCCAAATCATTAATGAACAAGTTAAAAAGCAGTGGACCAAGTACTGATCCCTGCGGTACCCCACTGCTTACCCCACTGTGGTACCCCACTGCTTACTGATCCCTGCGGTACCCCACTGCTTACCCCACTGTGGTACCCCACTGCTTACTGATCCCTGCGGTACCCCACTGCTTACCCCACTGTGGTACCCCACTGCTTACTGATCCCTGCGGTACCCCACTGCTTACCCCCCTCCACTGCTTACCCCCATCCACTGGCCCATTTATACTCACTCTCTGTTTTCTATTAATTAGCCAGTTTTTGATCCATAAAAGGACTTTTCTTTTTATCCCATGATTTTTGAGCTTACTTAGGAGCCTTTGATGAGGAACTTTATCAAAAGCTTTCTCATAAAAGCTTTTTAAACTCAGGAGTGTTCAGTGTGTAGTCTGGATTGGTTTTGTGGGTCTGTTGAACTAGAACAAAACTGAGAATTTGCATCTTGCACACATAGGGTTCTGAGTCATAGCTCACATATATTATTTGCAAAACGGTGTCTTTGAAGGAGAAAAAAGGTCTGGTATGTCTTGGGTAGACTCTGATTTCAGCTGTAGATCTGCAGTGAGTGAAAATGTGGTGTGCTTGTGGAGTGACTTCTAACAAATCAATATTCCTTAAAAAGTGAGGCTTTCTTCACAACAAAGCATTAGCAAAATAAATGCATCCCTTGAGGTTAGGGACATAAAAGAGTATGTTGGGAATTAAAGATGCTGTTGTCTTACTGTGTTTGGCCTTTAACTGTGGGGGTGCAATGGCTGTGCATGTCCGTTACTCTTTCTGCTGCACCAAAAGAAAAATGTGGTTAGGATGAATTTCTGGACTAATGAGGTATTTTGTGATGAGTCATATGGCTTGGCAAGTACTTTAATTGTGGCAG